TGAATTTGATTTTCTTAACACGTGGCAACCCTCCTCTATATACTTAGTTCAAAATTAAAGCCTCTTCAAACCCATTTAGATTCATACCGATCTTTTAACTATTCATTAAACTTATGAAATCATTTGAATTAAACCTTTTAACCCAGTGGCAACCCTTTTCAAACAACTCACAAATATAAATGATCAAACTAAAGATTTTTTAAACCTCTTTCTTTTGACACTCATATTTTTAATATTTCATATGACTTAGGTAAAATTTAATGAAACTTGACTTTTAGAATAGTTGGCAACCCTCTATAAATATTATTTTATATAAATATTTCCAAACTACCAACCTCTGAAACGTCTGTCGTCTGCTGATATATACAGTCATGTGAAAAATAATAGGGACACGAAATTTTGACTAGGTTTGACAATATTTCTTTTGTCAGTGTAATTTTGTACATACTACTTTTTCAAGCATAGCCTGCCTTATCTCGCCAAAAACGCATCGAATGTTTGATTTCCAACTGATCAGTCGTAGCTTGTTTGTCCAGATAGAAAAATAACTTAAACTACCTCCAGTTAGTAAAATAAAAATAAATAAAAAAGTAGCCTAACGGTGTCAAATCACATAATATGGGTGGCCAAATTGACAGGTTCATTTCTAGATATCATTCGGTCACCAAAAGTTCGTCCCGTCCCAATGAAGTTCCATTCAGGCGCTTTAAGTAGGCGGAAAAAGCGCGTTGTATTCATTCATTTATTGGAATCAAATATGATATACATACTCTTCATTCCTAAATAACCTAGGATATACATAATTTTAAAATTTATTTACGGGCTTACCTTAAACTGGAAAAGCATTGAAAAATTCGAAAAACTCAAAATTTTTATTTATAGGTGCAAGATTTGTGTGAAATGAAAAAAACCGGTTTGCGCGATAAAAAATCCAGTTTATTCGATATTCAAAAGAAAACAAGATATCTAAAAATAACCGGTGGAAATCGGTATTCAAGGAGTGTCAACTATAAAACCTGAGCTTTACTTAAACTTACTTCTACAACTTTAGCTCACCCACAACGTTCTTTAATTGAATTTCATTCCTTAATTATCTACATTTTCTGCTACTTCTTTCAACCCAAACAACAAAAAAAAAAACGCCGTCATTTAACATTAATTAAAAAATTCGTTTATTGAACCGTAAATGCAATTTCTTCACAGCTCTGCTAACAGCTGCATTAAGCAGTAATACCCATTAGCCAAGGGAAACATGCCTGAAGCGCAAACGTTTAATCCGAAAAGTGCAACACATTAATACTAAACACGAACAGCACACACACACACACACACACACACACATACATATGTATGCACATAAAAACCATAGCTGCTGAAAAGGCGGCTAAGCAAAATGCGTTCGCCATTCTGCTATGAACAATTAAAATAATGAGCCCAACAAAGCACACAACCGAGACGAGAGGTACAGCGAAAGAAGCAACAAAACCACGTGCTGATAAAAATAATTTCATATAAACGTTTTCGTGCTTTCCTCAAAAAAAAAAAAAAAAAAAAAAGCCCGGGAAAGCGAAAAAAAAAAATAACAAAAAAAAAAAAAAAAAAGATGTGTTGGCCGCCGGAGGAGTGCAATAGTCGTATGTAGTTGCATTTTTTTTTTTTTTGGGGTTGTAGCTGTGAAAACACCAGTAGCAACAGCGTTAAGCCAGCCAACCAGCAGCGACTACAATGACTGCATTAAGAATTACTACTTCATTTTCATTAACTGTTCAACAATGGAATGGTAACAATGCGACGATAGCAACAGAAGCGCCAACAACCAGTAGTCAAGCGCGTTGCTCCATCAAGCCACGATGAACCGACCGAGCGACCAAATGGCTGATGACAGCGCTGACAGCTATATACTCGTAAAAAAAAAAAAAAAAAAAAAAAACATCAGGCTGCTTGAGAAACAGCTTTTAACGACTGCAGCTATTTGCGTTTTTGTCCTTTCCAACAATAAAGGAAAAAAATATGCTATTACTCGTATAATGAAAGGAGTTGCATAGGAGCGGATAGTAGGTGAAAGGAAGAATAATAAAAGTACGAGTGTTGCAGTGACTACACACAGAAAAAAAAACATTCCTTGATGCTAGGAAAAAAAGTATTTGAGTAAACGATTTGACGCAGTTTAAGGAAAACAGAATTTCTTAGTTTTTAGGAAAAATTTACTTGTCATTTAATCCCCCGTGAAACGAATGAGTATGTAATTTTGCTCCTGGCGCAATGGCGGACAGAGCAAAGTTCTGGAGTGCTAGCCGCGTTATGCAAGGTTCGATTCCCAGAGCAGGAAATTTAATTTTTGTAATATATTAATTGTTATTTTATGGCCTTATAATAATTATATTCAACAATTTTTATTGAGCTTGAGGCCGGTTTTTGAAATGAAAAACTTTTTTCAAATTATTGTTGCTTTTTCACAATAAGTTTTCCATTAAAAACGGCCTCAAGCTCAATAAAAGTTGTTGAATGTAATATATTTATTTTATTTTTTCGTAATTGTAATTTAAAAAAAAAAAATATATATATATTTAATTTATTTTTTATGGTATTTGAGTATTTAGGTTTTTCCATATATGAAATTAATTTTACAATTTGTAATTTATATTTAAATTGAATTAATTGACTTACCTTACTCTAACCACCTCCAACCGGACTCGAAGCTGCGATTTCAGAACCAGAAGCAGTAGTCTTCTTAACAGAACTGAAAAAATTCAAAGTTATTTAAGGAAATAATTACTTATATTGAGGAAATTTACGTCCTCAAGTAAATGACGCCCTATTTTGAGCATGAACCTGAATTAAGGAAAAACTTCTCAAATTGAGTAAATTTTTCGTAATATTAAGGAACAAACAGTAACTCTAAAATGAGCATACTGTTTTCTTGTTTTAAGGCAATGCTTTTTTCTGAGTGTACACAAACGTTGCGGGAATTGCATTGTAGTGAGTGTAAGTTTATCATTTATAACAATGCAATGCTCACAATGTATCTAAGATTTGGATGTATTTATGTATGTATGTATGTAAAAGCGTTTATCAGTCAGCCTTTTCAACTCTGTTTTTTAGGGGGTAGGAAAATAGTAAAACGGTAAAATAAGTAGGCACCTACATACATACATAAATAGGTGTAAGTAATGTCGGTACATGTAAGATCTTAAATTAAGCTGAAGGATGGAAAAGAAAGCATACAATAGAGGACGGTGTAAATATGTATACTTAAAAGCATCACACAATAAAACCAAAATAATTGTATATTTCCTCCAACCCACATACATATGTATGTAAACAGGATAATGGATATTTGTAGACTTTATTAATGCATGTATAATTTTGATTTTTCTTTCCATGGCTCGAATATATTGAATAAATATTGAATAAATATTCGCTATCGAAATACTTATATGTGACACTATTGATTTTTTGTCGATATCGGCATCCATATATGCGCAAATCGATTAAACTATCGAAATAATTATCGATATCAAACCATTAACCGATATAGTTAGCGATGTACTAATCGATATTGTTACGTATTTATCGATATGGTTATGTATTAATCGATATCGTTGTGTAATTATCGATGTCATTATTTACGTTTAATTGTTTTGAAAAGGCCGTGGGTAATATGTTGTTTTACTAATTAGTTTTTCGATTACTATAACATTACATTTTCCCACTGGGTCTGATGGTAAACGAGGACATCAGACAAACAGTTGAGAGTATGCGTATCTCGGCACCAGAATTAGCACCTATAATAATGTCGGCTTTAAAATCCAATTTAGAATCACTCTTGCCAAAAGTGCTACTTTGGACTAAGTAAGCAACTGAGAATGGACAGAAACGCTCCAGCTCTGAAAATATTCAACGCGGATCGCGATGCTGGTAACAAAGGAAGAGCAAGGCCCCACTGTGATGGAAAAAACATGTGGAGAAGAACTTGGCTTCACTTGACATTTTTTAATTGGCGTCAGTTGGCGCAGAAGATAAGCGACTGGCGGGCTTCGCTGGACCTCACTAAAATCGCTTAGAGCTGATTTGTCGATATATTTTGACACTTATTTGACGATAAATGTAATTGAATTTGACATAGTGAAAACCAGTCTTCAGGCGGTTACAGTGCCAAACAAGAAGAAAAAGTAAACAGTCAAAAGATCAAAATGGAGAAAATGGAGCGCTTCTAGAAGCCGCCTGTTTTTCTTAATTAGCCGACTGGGTTTCGTATCAATCAGAATATGCTGTTTTAAGGAAGTGTTTTCGAATTTTTTTATGACGGTTAAATGATATCGAAATTATATCAATGCGTTAATATTTTAGCCTAATAAGTACCTCAGTATTCAGTGAAACAAAATGAAAATAAAAAAACTTTAAAAAAATAATTTTGATAAACAAAAATATCAGCCTACTCAGTACCTCAGAATTCTATACAATAAATATTTTGGAGCAAATTGGTGGAAAAGTATTACTTTTTGAATCCCATAAATTAAATAAATATCTTGCTATAAGTGTAGGTGGCTACCCTATAAATACCAACATAAAAAATGATCGTTGAAAGTAGTAAGACACAAATTGTTATTAAACAAACGTGGCAACTCTAAACAAAAATATGTCTATATTAAAGTTTATATTTTTTTGATATCCATATTAAGTTCTTTTAATTAAATTTTGTGGAATCGAAAATAAGTGGCAACCTTGCGCAAATATCCCAAGGGATAATGCTTACTATATAGGCAAAGAATTGTTCAAGTGCTTTCTTTTAGTAACCATATTGGTATTACATTGTACATTAATTTTCTAAAGAAAAATTAAATAAATACGATGCAAAATAGGTGGCAACCCTATTAAAAAATATATACTTTCCATACCAAATACATTTTTTTTATGCAGTTTGTGTAATAATATAAGATATTTGTGTGTATTTATGTGTCTGAATTTTAATTAAATATTTTTTTTTTTTAACTTTTCAGCTGTTTCAAGTTTGCAGTGTAAAATTTCGAAATACGCATTCTCGGATAATCAAAAGGAACTTAACCAAATATATACTTGTCTAAATATTTGAAGCTGAGGATATCTCCTAAAGCAGTAAGTCAACAATTGAAACTAAAAGCTTTTACTCCTTTTATGTACTTTATTTTATTTATAACGCTTCTTTTTGGTTGTATGTAAGTGCTTCTGATAGGGAAGAAGTATGATGTATCTAAGTATACATAGTACACTTATCGCTGCTTTTCAGATCTGCCAAAATATGACATAAACGGAATGCACAGGAGCCAAACGGAGCCTTGTAAAAAATACGACTATTAGAAAATTCGACTTTTATATGCTACATTTACAAGTATATTGTAAAACTTACTTTATGCATATAGTTTGTAAAATTTCAAAAGCGAATTTAATTTTACAACTTTGCGCTTCTTACTATGTCTCATCAATTTTCATTGTGCCAATCTTATCGTCTCATCCAATCTACATAAAATTCACTGGCAGGTGCTTACTGGTTTGTGATGAGCTGCACGCAATACCGACTGCCAGCTACATACATATGTACATATGTATGTATATTTTTGGTGCATTTGGTCCTTACATATTTAGTATGTATTTACTTGCAAATAACGAATTTCTACCGAAAAGATGTATACTCCAGCAAATGTGCATTACTAAAATTAAGTGAATAATAATAATAATAATAATAATAAAATTGCAGCGAGTTCATAATGCATACGAATTACTCCGTACTATCAACAAAAATGGATGTATGTATGTACACTGCCGGCAAAAAGTATTGGCACAGCAAATTTTTCACAATATATGCAACATTTTTTTTTAAATATTTTTCCGCCAATGTTTTATAAAAATATGGCTCATTCTACAACAAAAAAAAAAAACATAAAAATATAATTCCCACACTTTGATCAAAACTCACGAAAATTCAGCCAATTTGCATGGAAATTTTCAACTTTTTAATCCGAGTTTTTAGAATTTTTTTGTGTATACAGTTTCGCAGCCCATTAAATTCTTCTAAAAAGCATATAAGTTTGGAGTTAGTATAAAATCGCATTGATTTTTGAGAATTTTTTTGTTGAAGTTGTTTTCCATATAAAATATTTTTTGTATGGAAGAGACTGCGTGAAAAAAATCACAAAAATCAGCGGTAATTTCTACTACCTACTTAAAACTTGTACTTTACTATAATAAAATTTATTGTACTACAAATCTGCTTACCAAAAAAAAAAAATTCTTAAAAATCTGATTAAAAAGTTGAAAATTTACGGAATTTTGGTGCGTTTCGCTCAAAGTTTAGGAATTGTATTTTTATGTTTTTTGTTGTAGAATGAACCATATTTTTTATAAAAAACTGGTGGAAAAATATTAGAAAAAAAATTGTTGCATATATTGTGAAAAATTTCCTGTGCCAATACTTTTTGCCGGCAGTGTATGTACTTTTGAATCGTAACTCGAATGAAACTTGCCGGCAATCCCAGGCATTGTTGCACTTGACTTTTCCAACTCCAATAAAATATTTCTTTTTTTTTTTTTTGTAAAGATAGCGGAAAGAGAGGTCGCATATTTTAACTCTCCATTCATTTGAAAAGAGATAACAAGCATATGTAAATATGTACAACTCCACGTCTTCTTGCCACTATGTACTCGTCCTGCGCTAAGCCAGGCGAAAACTTTCTGCATATGTAATTGCTGCTGTGCCACACTACGCTACGCCACGCCACCACTCTTGTTTTGCTTGATTTCATCTGCTTTTGACATTATTATGCAAATTATTATTACATATAATACTTGACATTTCGTTGACGTCTATTTCGCTGCTACTCGTTCTTCGCTAATTCTCTCACTTCCCGGGCGCATTGAATATGGTATCTATGTGTTTATGTATGCAAAATAATTTCGTTATGGAATTCGCGTAAGTTTTGTAACAAATTTTATTTGTTTCAAGCTCACTCCTGAACTCTAGCTGATGTTCTCCACCGACGGAATATAAGAGTCTGAAAGGGGGAATGGTGATTTTTATTCAACGGAATTCAAAAAGATTTTTAATTTTTCCTCTTCATTGGTCCTGTAACCACATAAGTGGTTTTGGATGAATTCAACATGGCACACCAATCGATATTTCCCAGTTATGTCACGCCAAGTGAACACGATCCCTTCTCGATCTGACCTTTCTTTCTTTCTGTCTGATTGCGTTTAAATTTGTCTATTTTTGTTGTAGAGCCTTGCCTAGATCAACAAACCTTCCAATAGTTGATGTCAAATTCAAACAACGGAAGGCTCAGGAAACGTACTGTTTGGACGGAGTCGGACTAAGTCAGTTGAGGGGATCAGTTGTGTGGGTTTTGAGGGAGTACATGAATAAATATTTAGAGTCCTTCGAGGCACCTTATCATCATATGTGCGGCGCACGTTAGGTATATTTCTCGGGATCGAGTCTGAATAAAGCTATCTTTACATGGGTCGATTTTTGTCGACTGGAAAATCGTCTAAGAAATCGACTAGCCAAAGCATTTGAATTGCCATCTAAACGGGTCGATTTTGGTTGAACGACAATCAAGGAGTACATTGTGGTAAGAAGTAGTGAAGTTGTCGCAAAAAAATCAAGTTAAAAGCTTTAAAATCCAAAACGTAATTGTGTCAATGTAACACGTCAGCCAGCTAATCCCTCTCTGCACTAGGTGGTGGTTGACGGCATTAACGGTGCAGATAGTGATGGTCTCTCTGTGAGTGTCACTTATTGCCTCTCTGTACAACGTCAGGTCCAGTGGTTGTTGCACGTTGTGCTTCGAGCAAGTGCATATTCGGGTGCTCACGTTGGTAGCAGTCCTTCCCTTTGTCCTGCGTTTTGAGCACTTGATTCCTAGCAGCGTGCTAAAAGTGTTCTTCGTCTTTTTCGCGGTCGGAATAGGAGCGCCATCGACGTGAACTCTCAGCTGCAGCCTGACTTCTTTCATGCAGGTGGTAATAATTTTACAAAAACAGGAGAAAGGACACCGCCCTGTGTCATCTCCTGCCTAGTTTTCCTTAGTTTGTAGTTTGTTCTCAGAATACTACTGACGTTTTGCGACGACTCAGATAGTTTGCCATCCATCGTTTGAGCCCCTATGAAGAGGGGAGGCCTCAGTTTGTACAGCCTTTCGATCCCACGGTAGTTAGCACATATGCCAGAGCACACTTAGGTCCAGTCGTCAGGCATAATTTGTTCGAATACATCATCAACTCATCGGCCTTAAGATCTTCTGTAAGTTACCACATTTTCTGATGGGATTTTTGGGGGCTTTTTATGTCGGCCAGCATCTCAAACTCTTCGATTTCGCAGAAGTCCGATTTCCCTTTGCTTTTACCGGCTTTGTGGCATTTCTCAACGTACCAATTAATTTTTGTGGACCGTCGAAATCCAATAACTTCTTTAGCGGTGGTACGAAGGGAGTGATAATTGTGAAACCATTGCTCACGACGCTATTTATTTGTTCATTTGTTGAGAAGTGATTTCTCAAAATGGAGAAAAGAGGACCACCGGGTTTTTATTCCCCAAAACAGCCTCTGTGTAGCCGCCCTAGTTGCAACTGATTCATTTGTTTCTCGAAGTTGTTGAATTTTTTCTTTTCATTCCTTGGCATTTGCTGCCAGCTGTATGCTGTTACACTCCGTCCATGCATCTGCTGTTCTGTACTCACGCGTCCAACTTGTAAGAAAATTTACATACTACCTTCATCTGAAGACTTCTTCTTCTACCTTCATATCCACATCTATAGACATATATGTATATGTTTGCAAACTTTTGACATTGCCTGCAGTTATGCGTGTTCGGGAATCTTTCCAAGTCGCAACTTCATTCTTGCCTTTACCTTGCAAAGTGAGAAGTGAAAATAAAATGAAAACAAAAATGTAATAAAATAAAAAATAAACCATTTGCATGCGAACGCGTTTATGTGTGTACGTTAAATTGTTTTTATGTAAATACTTCAAGCACACAGTGAGTTGAGTTTAATTTGATTAAAGTTATGCAACTTTGAGTTAATTTACTACGCAATACTACAAAATTTGAGTGCAATTTTCACATAACAAATCGTCCAATTTGTACATATTTAAACTTAACTTATATGTATAATAGTCATAAATATGAGGTCGTACATATGTAGACATGAGAGGCGAGGAGTTTATTCGAGAGGTGTAAAGTGAGTTCGTAATTGTTTACAGTTATGTACTTATGTAAGTTAGGTATGGAGGGGTGGCTACCGCTGATTTGCAGCGCTACACGTGGGCCTAAAATAGAAGAACGGTTCTAAAAGGCTAATTTGAAAAGTCAGTGACTTTTTGAATACATATATTTTTCGGTAAAAAGGCGTTTCAATTCTCAACACAGTCTTTATGTAGCTCGATACATTACGTTCAGAGTTTTTCCAATTTTTCAATTTCTTTCAAATAATATTTGTTGTTTTTAGTCCTCAAAATAAGCGTTTATTTCAGTGATGACTTCCTCAATCGAGCCAAATCTCTTATTGCCCAACCACAGTTCGTCGTTGATGGTACTTATGGTAACCATATGCCGTTCCTATGGATTTTGCTCTGTAATCAGTCCTATCAGGCTTCGTAGATCACTCCTTCTTTGTCTGATAATGAATTTTGCTTTCATACTTTCAGGCCTTTTTAGGAAACACTTGGTTATTTTGGCAATACCGCACCAACGGCAATCAAGAGTTGTATTGATGTATCCGACTGTTTTCGCTATGCTTGGCCCTAAAATTGGCTCCGGTACATTTGGACGCTCCAGAGAACAGCAGTTAGCCAATTCATCAGCCAGTTCATTGTTTTGAACACCGTAGTGTCTTAATACCTACACAAGTTCAAGCTCATTCCACCTTGTAACGGAGTTCAGCCTCAACTTACATTTCTGGACTGAAAATCCTGATTTTATGTCCGCGCCACCTTTTGCCAATTATCCAGTCTGCCACTTTCAGTATTGCTAAGGCTTCCGATTGAAAGACCGTTGCCATTGCACCCAAAGCTGTAAAGCATCGGAAGTTACCATTCAGATGCCATCCAGCTTCAGTAACATTTTCAGTTTTTGAGCCGTCGGT